TGAAAATCTGTCTTTTTTGACACGCAAAGAACAGCATTTTAACTGAACCCCCATCTTGTCTTGCAAGTGTTTATAGCTGGGACAAGTGTAGGATTTGACAGGGAAGAAACAAAAAAAAAAATCCCAACAAATCCCAAATCTGTCCTGTAATAAATAATAAACTTTATTTATACAGCACCTTTCAAAACACAGCATCAGTATGCCAACACATAGACGCTTTTTTTGCATTGCTCTGTTATCTGTCTTTCAGAATTGCCAGCCTATCCAAAATCTTCCCAACGCTGATGTTGTACAGACTGTGGGAGGATGGGAAGATCGGCTCCCTAGATGACCCTCTGGAGAAATATGTTGAGAACTTCACCATCAAAAACCCTCTGGGGAAGACGCGAGACTCTGAGTTGAAGTATGTGACAGATGGTCTGATATTTCTGGACAGCGGGGAGGTTCAGATCCGCTCCTCCTCAGTCACCCTGCGTAGGATGGCCAGCCAGCTCTCAGGTACGTAGATACAGTTGATCATAAAGACATAACTTCAATTTTAAAACTCCAGAGAACCCTGTGACTTACCTTATCAGGGAGCCAACGCCTGAGATCTAATTAGATATTGTATATCCCTTAGCTCTTAAATCTATATGTGTTAGGCAGTGGTGCTGCATTTGAAAAACTGTAGTATGTTTGAATATACCCACAGGACCTGACTGGTTGAAACTTAAAAGTGGAATAAAGTCAATAAAAACAAAAGAGATTTAGTGATTTTTAAGCAAAACTGCCAAACGTAATCATTGAAAGCTTCTCAAATATAATATATGTAATAATAATATCCCTGTTCATCAGAAAAAAATAAAACAACAGACTGAAATGGAAAGTGAAGAGGATGGAGAGAAGAGGAGGAAGTCTCTTGTGCACACAAATACATATTCAGCTGTGGATGTTGCAGTTTCTATTCCCTGATTGCAGTTTTTTATTAAACACTGTTTTCCTGTGGGTGGATCCAGGCCTGCCCAGGAGACTCAGGGCCACAAATCTACTTTGGAAAGGAAAAACACAATCTGCAATCAATCTACTACAAGATGATGTCCTTGTCGCAGACCCAGGCACCAAGTAAGATTTTTTTAGCTGTGCTGATTTTTACATTGTCATTGTGCAAACTGGAATAGGGAAATGTGTGAAAGTGGATGAATGCCTAAATGTCAAAACAAAAGATTATAAAACACCATATTTTTTGACTAAATACTTGTGTTTTTTTGTCAAAAATATTAAATTGACCTAAACTCACGTTTACTTCATTTGTCATCCAAAAGTCATATGACTTAGACACAAGCTGATAGGATTCGAGGCATTTTAGGACTGAATTCTGATGTCTACATTATTCTACTGGTGCCCTGATGACAGCAATATAATAAACAGTCAAAATAGGTCAAATGAGTCTGGCACATAACTCCCTGACTTTCATTTCCATGTTAACTGCTTCTTGTTCTTTGCCAAGCTAAGCTAACCTTCTGCTGGCTGTAGCTTCATCATTCAAATGGGAAAATACTAGGAAATTTTTGTACCTGAACCAACTTCATTTTTAAGATGTGCTCCATCTCCTTAACTTGCTTCCTTCCAGATGTCACTACAGCAATCTCGCCTTCTCCTTGCTTGCTCATGTGATGGCTGAGCGAGTGGCCGGGGTTGACTACCAGCGGTGGATCACAGACAACATCCTGGACCGGCTGGGGATGGAGGACACCGGCTTCGACATCACACCGGGGCTGCAGAGTCAAATGGCTGTAGGGGTGTACTCCAACGGGAAGCCAGCCCCACTCTATGACCTGGGCTGGTATCGGCCTTCGGGTCAGATGTTCTCCACAGCGGCAGACTTGGCCAAGCTTGCTATGATGCTGCTGGGTGCTTATCACCGCAAGCTGCTGGAGCCGGACTCATTGAAGATCATGCTGACACCGCTCTTCAGGTGCGATAAGGACTACTTTGCCAACCGTACCGGGACGCCGTGGGAGGTGAACGAGCTGCTGGGCTACGAGGTGGTGCGGAAAGATGGTGATCTGGACGGGTACTCTGCCACCTTCTCTCTGGTACCCAGACTGAAACTTGGTCTGGTGGTGCTCATGGCTGGCAGCAGGTCTCAGAACCAGGACGTGGTCACCAAGGCTTATAACTACATCATCCCAGCCATCGAAAAAGCCTTCAGGGAGGCCAAGAAGGTCCTCTTTCCTCCCCCAGTTCCAGACCCTTACATCGGCTTCTTCACCTATGGAAACATCACCTTCTACGAGATCAAAGTTGGGTCAGATGGAGTTCTGGTCATGCAGCAGTTTGGGCCTCAGATTGAAGAGCTGATCCCAGAAAAGTACAGGACAATAAAGCTCAACTACCTGGTCGACCGGGTGTTCAGAGTGGTGTTTGAGAAAGAGTACCCTTGTGTTTTGCAAGTCGGCACAGCCTCAGTGTCCCTGGAAGCCCAAGATGGCCAATTATTTAACTTCTACATGTTTGACAAGCGGGGTTTGTCCCCTGGTTTTGATGCTCCAGGACTGAATACATATAATGTCGTCAGAATAGCCCGCCGGCCAACCTTCTCAAGCTGAACTGCTGCACTGCTGTGGCCTAAAGACAAATGGTATGTCTTTGTGTTTGGATGTGTGGGGGACTGTAAATAAGAAGGAGGCTGTGAAATTTGAAAGACCAAATGGAGAAGTTGGGAGTCATTTTGGCGGTCACAGATAGGATTGTGCTTTGGATTTACAGAGAGCACAGAGTGGGACGCTGTTACATTCACCCAGCTGTATGATGTCTTGCAAAGAAAATGAATTAATTTCTCTTCTGAAAGATGTATGTGACTGTCCTCCTCGCACTAGTCCTTAATTATGCCTCCTGACTTAACATTCACATTATGGTGCTTGTTTTTTTCCTGCCTTCATCTAAACCGCTCTCGTATTGTCTTGGTCTGTTCTGTCCTTGAGTCTCCATGAGTGTGAACAGCAGGACACTGGCTCACAACAAACACTTGTTGTAGTCATGTACATGAATATTTACATACATTTCATTTTAAATTCTTGGACCATGATTGCAGTTCCATGAAATCATGGTCTCATACATATTTATCTTCCACCAGAAGAATAAGAAAAAGATTTAATTTCTTTATGGTAGTATTCTTATGGCAGGTAAAGTCAGAACATTTTCATGGAAAAATGTGATTATGCATGAGTTTTAATATAATAAGGATGCAGCCATGGGTATGGAACTGCTGATTTAATATCAACAATCATGCACTTACATGTGACTAAAATACAAAATATTTTGGCTCCCAATAAGCGGCGATTAAGGACAGAGAGGCTTTTGTTTGCTTGTGTGACACTTTCCTATCTAATCCCTGAAAATGGATGCCAATTCGTACCAACCTCAAACAACAATATGAGTAATACACTGCCCTGACTGCTGCAGGATAATGAGAGACTCAAGTGTACAGAAATATCCCTCATGTGGGCAAAGGCTGACGTTTTACAACAGATTGATTGTCTGGGGATGTAATGGGAACGGAGTACAGATTGAAAATGTTGCTTAGTCTTTAAGCATCAGGTGCAATGAATTAAATCGAGGGGGATGAAAATGCAGTGCTGCCTCGAAAATAAATCTGCTGTATCCACTTTTATCCGCCTATGGGTGAAATACTGACACTGGCATTCAACAATCAAATGTTATCACAGCCCACAGAATAAAGCTTGTTCTGATTTACTGTGGGAAGGAAAAAAATCTCTTGGGTTTGTATTGTAAGCCATACTGGAACAAAACTGTACCAATATGCAAATTAAACCATGTGCTGATTCTCTATTGTTGTTTAGGTTTGTTATTTTAGATATGTAACATGAGGCTTATGCAGCCTTCAGGAAAGCAGCAATCACATAATGCAATCATGATGGCAAATAAATGAGTAACACAACAGCACAATTAACCAGACAATATAGGTAATAAAAAAATGGCTATGTGTGGATAGCTTAGACATTTATTTGTTTAGCTTTTAAATTAGGCATTGCACAATAGCCATAATCACTTTTCATATCTGCAATCACAGTGAACAAGAGCTTACCAATCAATCACATCATGTACATGATGGCTGGCCATTCAACAAGAGACAAAACAAGATTTGGAAAAGCTCACGGCAAAGTATTACATTCTTTGTTTACAAGTTCTACGGAAACACTGAGAATGATTTGACCTGTTTTCGCTGCCCAGCAAAACGTCAATTTTCCAAAAAAAGACATTACAGACATTACAACATTAATATCATTCAGATTATTATTCAGACTAATTTGTCCCACTTCCCCGCTAGGTTCACTCTGTAAGGCATACAGCAGTTATGGTATAAGACAGCGGGTGGAATTTGCAGGCACTGTTGAACAATATTATCCATAGTAACAAAGAAACCAACTCAGATCAAAGTTTATGTACAAGCTCTTTAATGACATGTAACAAGTTTAAAGGTTCAAAGTTCAACATTTTGAGAAATTCACTTGCTCACTTTCTTGGTGAGACTTAGATGAGAACCACTCTTACATCTGTATAGTAAATATGAAGTAGCAGACTGCTATCTTAGCTTAGCATAAAGACTGAAAACGGGGGAATAGCTAGCCAGGCTCTGTCCAACAGTGAAAAACAATGCACCTACAACCCATTTAAAGCTCAATCGTATCACTACTAATTTCTTTTTTTTTCTTTTTTTTTACAAATTAGATACATGACATATGCAGTTTTTAATTAGCGAGCATTACACATGCAGGTGGTGGATTTTTTGTACCTATGGACAGAGCTAGAGAAGCTGTTTCCCCCTGTTTCCATTCTCTATGAGTCATATCGATTTTCTCGTATCTTTACAGTCCTATTGATCTTCTCATCTAACTCTCAGCAATGAAGTAATTAAGCGTATTTCACAAAATGCCAAATTACTTCTTTAAAGTGGTTCTAGTTCAGCTGCTCGTTAGCTTATTCATATCAAATGTCAATTATAACACCGAGGTCTTGCAAGTCGTCTCTTTACATGCACATGTGAGGATTGCAGTATCTATGCTCAGTGTCATGTTAGGAGACAGCAAAGGGATGATAGCATTAGAGTCCTTACCCTCAGCCTGAGCTCTGGAACTTGAAACAGAGGGATTCAGTAAGATTTTAGGGAAGGGCGGTGAGTCTCTGACAGAGCTGTTGTCCTCCGTCTGGGAACACACGAGTTCTCGGAAACACTCCCTGAACCGTGTGGAGAGCAGGCTGTAGATGATAGGATTGACCGCAGAGCTGAGGTAGAAGAGGACGCCCGACAGTATGTGGACATACTGATAAATATTGTGCATCAAGTCGGTCCATTGGCTGATGGAACTCCACAGGAGCCGTTCGATGTGGAAGGGCGCCCAGCAGACTCCAAACACAGCCACCACGATTGCTATAGGATCAGGCCAGAGAGAAGGCAGGCTATTTAAAAAGGTCCCACAGTTGCTACAGGTTACAGGTTCTTTCTTACTGATCGTAATTTATTATTTCAACATATATTTGATGACACCTTCCCCTTTACAAGGAAATGAGACGGCGTCAGAAAAGCTGTTCAGATGGAAAGACAAGGTGAAACATGCTAAAAACATCGCCCAACAATGGACATGTGTATGTCCAGACCAGTGGCTGAAAGTACATTTACTCATGTACTGTACTTAAGTACACTTTCAGTCTCATGATAATTTTAGGCAGACCTAGCAATAACATGCGTCTCTAAGTATGTCAGTTCACATCTGGCGCTAGAATGAGTCTCCACGTGTAGAGTGACCACTTGAGATCTCACTTCCTCGCTCTATACGCGACACGTAGCATATGCCTTGTTGTTTTTAGCCAGTTTGAATGGCTCACTACAGACACGACTGTTGTCAATGTGTTTGTGGGAAAGAGAAAGAGAGAGCGTCAAGGAGGGGTTGAAAGAATCACTGCACTGCACACAGCTCTTCAATGAAATGAGGTTTGAAATAATAGTCACATAATAATATTTTCTGGTCATAATGAAACTGCAGGACTAATTAGACTGTGGCAGAGGACGCCAGTAGAGACGGTCCTTCAGTGTGTTCCAGGATGCATTTGCGTTCACACTGCCTAAAGAATGTGGCCATATGTGGCATAGACCACCTCCGAATGTGGTCTGAGTGACCGGATCTCAGATGCATCCTCAATGCATTTTGGGTGGGTTCACACGTGAACTTAGAGGTGACCACTTATGATCTGATCACCTGAGACGGATGTTAACGCCAGGTGTGAACAGGGCCAGAAAAACATTAGTGTTCAGATGGTGCTGTTATGTGATGAATGTAAGTCCAGTATTCCTTCTTCTTCTAGCTTTAGTCTTCTCTACAGTATTTCCTTCATACATTGGTATTTTTGGCTGCCAATTCCCCCACTGTGCTAACAGGATAGTCACCGGACCGGATCTCGAATGAATGCTGAATCCGTCTTGGGTGCGTTCACACCTGTACTTACAGCTGATCACCCAAGACAGATGCTAATGCCAGGCCTGAACGGGGCCTAAGAGATTCCCACGAAACCTTCTAAGTTTAAATAATTGTTAGAGGCCCAAAGAGGCCAAATTATCCTTTATCTCACAAAAAAATCGAATATTAGAGAAGATTAAAAGGAAGTGTATACAGATTTGTGGAACTTTTGTTTTTTCTCTTTCCCAGCCCAGTAATCACCTCACAACCTGGTCAACCCAACCGACCTGAGGGCTTGATCCCTAGGTTGGGAACCACTAAAATGAACTAACTGTATATAAAGTAGTATTCAGTCATCACTTTCTATTGATGTTTTGAAAGAAAACCACTCAAGAGAATCTTGAAAAAATGGAAATTCAGTGTGCCATTTCCCTGTAATTACCAGTGTTGCTCAGCAAATGCAACATATTATCACAATCCACCATTCACAAAAAAAAAACAAACCCACAATAACACTAACCTTAATTTAAAGACCTTCAGATGAAATGTGGAAGATTTAGTGGTGTGTACTTCCTTAAACATGATGAAAGATTATATTGTTAAAACTGAACACAAAGTCATGCAGGTGTAAAAAGTCTTTCGTATAATTTTATTCAAACTCACTTATAAATGCATCACTCCTGAGCAGCAGAGGATCGGCAGCATCACTTGAGTTTGTGAGATTTGTCCATCTAATACCTTTACACGCAGTTTTTTTCACTTCCCCCCCTTAAGTGAAGCTGAAAGGTTTGAAAAATTGGCTTTTTCCACATTTGTATTCTGTATCATCTTGTTCCAACTCTTCATTGAAGCTATATGATGTTTACACTGAGTGAAATATTCAAATCCCTGAGTCCATATTTTAATGACTGCCCCATAAATGCACCACACATCAAATATTCTTCGGCTCTCACACATCTCAGCCTGACATGTTTGGTATGTTTGTTCTGTGGGTTTGAATAATGTTGCTATCAACTATCATTTCTATATTAACAATGTATCACACGACTATATGTGCTGCATGTGTATATCATATGTAGTGACAAACTTCCAGAGAATTATCACCCAACCCTGCAGTTCCCCACAGCTATATGGAACATTTTACAGTCGTTTCAGCATATTGTTTCAGGTTTTACAACCACCTTAATTGCTTTTGTTCACTCTAATGGCTTGTTTCTAGATAGACCACCAGCAAAAAAAAACTGTGAAAGCCCATTGTCTAAAGCATCAAACGGCAGACAGACACAGTCTGTGACTATCTTGTGAGCACAGTGGGGGATTTAGCAGCCAAAAAGGCCAATGTGAGGGGGAAATACTGAAGAGAAGACTAAAGCTAAAAGAAGAAGGAATAGTGGACTTACATTCACCACATAACAGCACCATCTGAACACTAATGTTTTTCTGGCCCTGTTCACACCTCGATCATAAGTGGTCACCTCCAAGTCCAATGTGAACCCACCCAAGATGCATTGAGGATGCATTTGAGATCCGATCACTCAGACCACATTCGGAGGTGGTCTGAGCTATATGTGGACACGTTCTTTTGGCAGTGTGAATGCAAATGAGTCCTGGGCCACATTGAAGGACTGTCTACTCAACTGACATCCTCTGCCACAGTGTGCCAATAAGTCCTGTCGAAAACAAGATTACTATTTCACATGGCTAAAAACTTATTTCATTATAGAACTGTGCGCAGTGCTACGATTCTCTCAACACTCCCTCCTCTCTCTGTCACTCACTCTCTCTCTCGCTCTCTCTCTCACAAACACATGACTACCCATCTGTCATAGTCGGACTGGCTTAAAACAAAAGCAAATATGTGTATATTTGCATATAGAGCAGGAAAATTAGATCCCATCACAAGTGGCCACTCTTGACGCATGTGGAGACACATTCTAGTACCAGATGTGAACTGACCTACTTAGAGCTGTCCACTTGTGATCAAATTACCAAAGACGCATGCTAATTCCAGGTCCGAACAGGGTCATAGTCAACGTATCAACTTTATAAGTTGACATTAAGTCAGAGAACAAGTCAAGTGGCCAAAAAAAATCAGTTGCTGCAGGTTGAAGTATTTCTCTGTAAGATAACAATATAGCATATTTATTGCACTTTTTATTCAGAGCATCTACGGCACAAAAAAAAATCATTACCTGTTCTTCCTTAACTAATATGTTTGACTAAATATTTCGCACTGAGATACAAAATAAAAACCACCATAAGGGAGGCTGCTGAAGTAGACTGTGAAATGCGGTTGAAAGCTCCAGAGAAGAAAACAAATCACAAGCAGACCTTCTATCATATCAACCTCAAGATCAGCTTCATCAGGACTGCTCAGTGTGGGAGTGTTTTGATCAGATTAGATCAAGAACAGCATGTCAGCATAATCAAACGACCCAATGCTGTTGTTTGTCTGTCATCAGAATCTAATCACGACATTGTTCAATTTGCAAAAATACCTGGCCTCACTTTTTTCCAACTGCTCACTTCAAACTAGTGAGATGAGCACAGACATTCATACTTGAAGATCCCAGGATTGCTCTACACTTGGAAAATAATACTGCGTTCATGTCCCAATCCCATCAGTCATTATAAGAAGCTGCTTCAGAAAACAGAGCCTTTAAGATGGATCAAACTAGAATTCAGTACAAGCTCTTTTGTTTCCTGTGCTGGAAGTGCTGTCATAAGATGGATATGTCAGTTTAGAATGAACAAATCAATTATCTATAATAAGAAGGGGGGGGGGTTATACTGTTGTATATGGACTGTAAGAACTGTACTAACATTGTATGAAATCTCATCAAGCCCCAGAGTTTAGACGATGTGAAATAATGGGACCCCCTTCAGATTATAAATAATCCATGCAAAGAATCGACAATCATCTGCCATTATATGCTCTGTGTTTTCCTCACGTTTTGTCTTTGGGAAACATGTCTTTGCATTGATAGCACAGATTAAAGGGGATCTGCTTTCGGATCATGGCAACCTGTCATGGCAATGCATGTTTTCTGTAGAAAGAAAAGAAAAAAAAAACAAACTCACAGAGCATCTTGGTAACCTGTCTCCTGCGCCCGTTCTCAATGCTGATCTTCCTTCGTGTGTTGCTCCTACAGTTCTTTCCCAGGTTCTTGCTGGGCTGCCGCGTCTCTCTGCCCAAATGAAGGCCCATCACCAGGTACAGCATGCTAATCACCATCATGGGTACAAAATAGAAGCACACAGTGGTGATCTGCATGACCATGTTATAGATCCACAGGGGCCTCAGCACAGTGCATATGGCCGACTCCTCCATCCTCTCTGGCAGGTAGAAGATGCCGTGCAGTGAGGTGTTTGGGATGGCGCAGGTCATCGACACCACCCACACGACCGTGATTACATGCTTGGCGTGCTGATTCGTCGAGAGGTATCTTGTTTTGAGCGGATGCACCACAGCTATGTACCTCTCCACGCTCAGAGCTGTCACGTTGAGGATTGAGGCGAAGCAGACTGTCTCAAAGAGGAAGGTCTTGAAATAGCAGCCACCCTCGCCAAAGGGGAATGGGTAGTTCTGCCACAGGTCGTAAATTTCCAGGGGCATCCCGAACAAAAGCACAAGGAGGTCGGACACGGCCAGACTCACAAGGTAGAGGTTGGTGGGGTTACGCATCTTCTTGTGCTTTGCTATCACTGCACATGTGAGCAGATTTCCAGACAAGCCGGTGAGGAAGATGAGAAGGTAAACAGTGGTCACCGGGAGAAAGAAGGGAGATCGTTTTGGACCCAGGATTTCAAAGAGGTTGACTTCAGTAAACTGGTCGTTGGTGTAATTCCCAGTGCCGTTTAGTGGCATGCTGGTATTGAAGAACAGTTTGGATAGGTTTGAAGAGGAGCCCTTCAAAGAGAGATCCATTTCAGAGAGGAGAGCTGGAGAGACAACAGTTGTCAACACATCCTGTGCTGATTTGTGACTTCATTCAACACCGGAGATGTGCTATAAACAGAAAAACAGAACACATTTTATTACATCCCCGTGAAGATGCTTATTTAAGATTTCTTCTTGTTTCATAAACCAATTTTTTAATTGAAACTCAGTGATTCACATATTCCCAGAATTAAAATGGAGGATAATTTTAACCAAACTAGTATGACTTGGGCTGCAAGTATTGGCGATTAATCTGCTGATTATAAAAATTCAAAAAGGAAGGAAAAATGTCCATTATAATTTCACAGAACCCAAGATGGCATCTTCAAATTCTTTGTTTTATCTGACCATCAGTAGAAAACACAGCGGTGTTCAGTTAAAAATCATATACGTATGACTAAGAAAAGCACCAAATCTTTGCACCTTAGAAGCTGAATAAAGAGAATGTTTGACTTTTTTTTTTGTTTGTTTGTTTTTGATTGAAATGATTGTCACAATAGTTGCTACTGTCCATCTACTAGTCCATTAATCTGCTAATAGTTTCCACTCTGTATATTACCACTTAGATAACAGATGAAATTTGGTATCTTGACCAATTAAAACAACAGATGCTTCATTTTTTGGGGGAGGATGAGTGCCATTAGGCAAAACACGAGCCAAACATTTTCTGAGCAAAATCATATTAATCGGATAATGTCAGGGACAGCTGCTGCAGAACACATTAACCCAAATAATTAAAACACACTTTGGATGTGTTTAGCATGCACAGCATACACAGATTTATTTATCTGTACTTTGTTTAAAAGAGAATTATTTTGACTTTTCTATTTCAAAAAGTAAACTTTTGATTGTGAACTTGAGTAATTAAACACAGCTCATAGCACATAATGAGCCTATAAACTAACTATTTATACCAAATTAAGTCATTTTTGCTGCAGAACATCACTGACTGACAAACATTTTCTGTTGGCCTTGGATGATGAAGAAACAATTAAGTAATAGAACATATATTAGTGTCACATTGAAATGACAGATTTCCATTTGGGATTGGGGAATATTGCTTTTACTGCTGCACTAATATGGCTCAAATCCTTCTCATCAGCTGGTGACTGTTGAGGATAATTGCCATTACACACTATGCACTGATAGATGCTGATGACTTCTTCTAAGGGTAATTAAGTTACCACATCTGATGCAAAACCTTGCAACCCCAAGGTTATGTGACACAGTGTGAGCTGCAAAGTTGGAATTAACCTAAAAGATTGTTTGAAATAATGATGTTCTATTAGCCTGTTTCTATGGGGAGTTATAACCTGCCTGTGATCTAACAGTGAGATTTAATGGCATTTAGACTGATTAGACTCCTTAAAAAATGCAAGTAAAATATTTAATGTTAGTTTATTGTTGTTATTAGGAAATTAAGGTTGATTGGACAGTCAGTTGGGCTTAATAAATACTTAATTACATCGGACAAAAAGCAAACAAAAATGTAAATACAACGTTAATAGGCTGAATATTTGACTCTTGATAAAACATCAGTACCCGATAACTTTTGTTAAAAATATTTACAGAAGTAAATCCTCACCTTGATGCTGCTGTTCTCCCAGCCGCTTCTCATTGCGCGCTCTCTGTGAGCTCATTATTGGAAATGAGGAAACAAACGGCGCCGATGAGGCAATTAAAAACTGATTAAGGACTGCAAAAGTTGATTTTTCAGGGCGCAACAACAGAGAAGAAGAAACAGGTGGAGGTAGCACAACGATCGTAACTGCGCTGCAGCCACGTCCTCTTCAGACAGAGATTAATGTGGCGAGATGTAAAGAAGAGGAGAGAGGGAGAGAGAGGTGGTGGTGGCGGGGGGGGGGGCTCTCATGAGATCATGTGTCTGCCTAATTTATGCAGGATGTCATGAATAAGCTTTCATTCACAAAAAAAAACACAAGAAATAGGTGAAATTGTGATTAGATTTCTCTACAGAACACTTTTTTAAATTAAAGTCATTATAAAGCTATGATAAAATAATGTTGTTTTGGAAATATTAGAGGTTGTGTGTGTTTGTGTGAAATCAAATTCATGTACTATACTCCTGCAGCGGGATACATCCCCAACCTGCTGTCCTCACCAGGCTGCTGATATAATTAGCTACAGAGATGTTTAATTATTCCTGCTTGTCATTAAACGCTTTATAAAAGAGGTTTAAATTGGAGTTTCACTTAATTCCTGAGTTTGTTAACAGCAAAAAAAAAAAACAGTTCAGTTTCCCTGTAGCTTTTTTAAAAGAGCTATTTGTAAGTTTTGTGATCGCTACATAGCTAATATTAGCATTGACAGCTTTTTACTTGCAGTCTAGAAGAAACTTTGTGAATTCAACAACAGAATTCATCCATTTACTCGACAAGAGCGGTCTCCGGTGGAGGAAAGCAATGCTAATGTTTACTCTTGTCTTTTCTTCTACTGAAATTAACATGCTAATTAGCTAGCCCAAGCCTTTCTCATCACTTTCCGATTGTGTAGTTTCCAAGTCTGCCCTGAAGACATAGCCCTGTTCAGAGGGTGCATTATAAACAACCTCCAAGGCTGAAAAATGAAGCCAGCAAGGGAGTACCAAACACTGCAGTTCTTTGAACAGCTGCTCAAGTCTCCAAAAGTGAGCCAATCTGGTCGCTACGGCTAATCTCCCCCTCCATGTCAACTGTATGGGGATGTATTTTTATATATATCTCCCATTTAAATTTTATTAAGGTTCTGCATAATTGAGGGTGTGGCCTCTTTGAGTGACAGGTAGGTGAGCTTATGCTTGCCACAAACCGGTATGCACCAATGTCTCGGCTCCACACACACCCCTCCCCTTTGCCTATTTTTAGATTAGCCGGGAGTTTGGCAGATTTAGGCACTGGCAAGATGACACCAGTGGAGCAGCCCACTATGAGCTTCAAAACACTCCTCAGAAACCTATGGATGTCATGGAGTCTACATCCATCTTCATTTACAGTCTATGATTATAATCCCTTGTATTATAAAGACAACAATGGCCAGAGCTCTTGTCAAGCAACAATCACAGCAAAAACAAACATACAGTTTCACTGTAGCATCCTATGTTTAATTGGGTAAATATATCAGAAAATGCAGTTTTGCAATAGCCGACCTGTGTGTAACTGAAGAGAGTGAGGAACCTCCACAGCCCACAGTCATATATCAAACACTCTGTCTGGCTGAAATTCATTGACACTGAGCCCTTGACTGATCTCAGATAATTTGTTCTCTTAGGTTACATGCACAGGCAATATCAATTCAGAGGCATGTGTTCATACATTATACGTTAAACTGTTCTGCTCTCAGTTTGGAATAAAGTCTGACCATCATCACCCTAGAGCCAGAATGTGCATCAATCTATTGGTGTTAATTTAAAAAAAAAAAAAAAAAAAAAAGAGTAACTGCTGCATTTCTGTTCGTATAATCATTCGGACTGCCTCATTGAAGAGCGAATGACCTACTTACTTCAAATTCATTCTCCCCTGAAAAACAATTACTTCTTTAAGTGATACACAAAAAGATGTGATTCCTATTTAGTATTCACCTCTGGTATGGCTTTTCTCATTTTGTATGATGAGTACGTAATGCCTTTCTTACTCATGGCCTGTTTCTTCAAAGTACACACCATAAAAATGCTTGCCTATGCCCTTTTTTAAATCCCCACCTCCACATGCTAAGCGCAGGAGAAAATGCTAGACAGAGAAGAAAGATGAGACAAAACGGTCAGGATATTTACTCTGTATTGGACCACAGAAAGCTGTGGAAGGGAGAACAGGAGAGGATCATGGGAGTGTTTCAGCAGGTATCTGCTGCATTTGTCTGACCACCTGCATTTTCAGGCCAGCAAAGTAAGACTAGGTTACCGGCCATTCATCGTGAGCAACCCGCGGCTGCAGAGACCAACTGGCCCCAAAACGGTGACTTTGTTTTGAAATATGGGAATATGCACCACTATACTGTTGCACAATATCAACTGACATAATAAAGGCCTTAAACCTGCAATGACTAATTTTTTCAGCCACATGGGGGCTATACTGAAACAAGCTTTAAACACAACACTAACACATTATTAGCTTTCAAACTGACCACAGCTTCCTATTTACAGATCCTGCTGATACGGATCTCCATCCATTTGATGTCGAGTTGTTGTCCACCTGGTTGAATTATGTCTCTACCCACTCCTGAGGGAAATATCTGGCTCTTTGGCTGCTAAATGCCCTGCTATATCCAGCAAGTGGCATACAGGGGGTATTCAGATGAAAATGATGCCATGAAAGTAAACCCAAATTGTGAATGTCAGCCACAACACCATAAACTGGATGAAGCTATGAAGCTCTATAGCTGTGAAGAACTGCAAAATCATGTTATAATTCTCTGTTCTCAGCAAACCTGGTGCTATCTAATACTTCTGCATAAGAACACTATACACAGTGTACAGAGGGGAGGAAACATGACGTCAATAAGAGGTAAACTGTTTGTTGTGGATATCAGCACATCCATCTCATCATCTCTGTCATGTCTCTGAGAGTTTAACCTTACTAGTTTGATTATTCTGAGATAAAAACCTGAGCTAGTGTTACAGTTCTGTCCATGTCTCCATCAGATGCCAACCTGCTTTTCAGGAGGTTTTTATCTAAAACTTCCATGCAGTATTAATAGTCTGAGAGTATAACTGAAAAAACTGGAGCTGAACAAGTAACAATTAACTAACTAGGCAACTGTAGCTAAGCTATATATGATCAGTTACAGCATCAATACCTGTCCAAAGCAACATTAAACTTAATGAAAATAATTTGAATGTGCAGCACAGTGATGGAAATCTTCTGAACTGATGGAAGAAGGTTCAGGAGGAGACCCAGATGTCTTAAAGCAGAAGCATTTATTGAAGAGTGATCTATCAAGAAGAAAAGAGATGAGCAGTATAGGTAACAACTAAACCAAAAACTATATTTAACCTTCGTCAAACTTGCAACATGTTCAAATACAATTATTCTTCATGGACCCACATCACATCCACACGTGTGACAAGACACTACTGGATACATTATCCTAAACACTATGCAACAGATGCGTCCACATACTGTATGTCCTTCTCAGAGAAGATGTGTGTAAATCATGGCCCTGAGGGGTGTTATAGTTATGGGATGTAACAGCTATTCTATCTTGTTCTGTCTCTGAGGGTCTGTGCTCTACCTTGGTTGCTATGGTAGCTTTCGATGTGGAGAATGCACTGTTAGCTATGCTAGAAATAAACAATGAACCATCGCTTACAGTAAGGCACCTGTGTGTGAGTCACCTGTGGGGAAACATGGCCTAATACTAATACTACTAATACCTAATACTACACAGACCTAAAGGCTTAATAATAAAGGAAAAATACCTAAAAATTCCTTCACAATGGCAAGACAAGAGGCAGAGGTAGCCACTTATAACCTTTGATGAAGCCCTGAGTCACTGCTAGTGTTGTGTTAAAATGAAAAGTAGTGCTTTGAAAACAAACATCACTAAAAGAACGGAAGAAACCAAAAATAGACATCGGTCTTTGTTGGACACGGATCAATTCTATTCAGTGTCATGAAAGATAATGGAAAAAACACTTTGCTTACAGACAATCCACCATTGTAAAAGAAGGTCCCACATTGAAAACAGTATATTTTTCAGTTTTCTAAAGTTCCAGCTCACACACAGGACTGCAGCCGCTGAACGGGCAGGTCTTCTAACAGCCATAAAAACACAGTTGTTTCCCTTAACATCTGAGGTCGCCAACAGAGGGCACAGTAAGTTCAGGTTATTGGCACTGACTAAACACACCCTCATGCACACAAAGTAATGTGTGTGTGTGTGTGTGTGTGTGTGTGTGTGTGTGTGTGTGTGTGTGTGTATGTGTGATATGATTGCTGTGTGTCATTTGTGACTAGATTTATATTGATGCAGCACCTCTCAGTTAGGCAGGTGTAGTATCCAGCAGTTAATCACAATGCAGGGTTACATATCCATCACTGCAGATTAAGCATATCAATGGAAAGCCAGATAAGTGCGAGTGAAATGTTCCCTAGACCCTGACATCCATTCAAAGAAAAGAAAAACACAATATTTCCGAGAAGTATGTGGACACCCCTGTTTATGTGGTGGTAGGCGAGGCCCCTCAGTTCCAATTTACAGTTATATCTGCTATAATCAATATGTCTATGTTGACAAAGGAGAGAAATATTACATGTATGAAAAGAGTTGCTCATAGTGACGAACTCCCAGGGAATTAGCAGCCAACTCTGCAGTTCCACTCATTTCTACACAGCGTTACAGCCTCTTTCAGCTCAAAAGCTTGGATAAGCTTACTGTACACTGGCTGCTCTTTGCCAAACAGCAGAAAGAGACACAACAACTAGCCAGTGAACATGGTGGAGCATTTCGAAGCTAAAGAGTCAGATATTTCCCTTAGGAGCTAGTGGAGAGTAAAACAGAGATTAAGGAGAGTGACTGTTGTATGTAAATTGTTGTTGCATTTATTAAATGGACACAAACATGTCTCCAAATGAAGGCTAATGTTGCTCTTGATCTGTTTGATATGTAAATAGGCCACTGCTT